TCGTCTCGAACCATTGGACGATGGCGCCGACGCTTGATGAAGGAGCCTGCCGCGATGAACAGTCAGCGAGCGTTGAGAGTCCCCCAATCCCCTTTTCAGAAGGCCAACAATGGACTTTTTGGGGACACGAATAAATCCAACGTGCGTTAAATCAACAGTGACGGATTCATGAATTCAATCTCCCTTCGTCCAACGTAAATACTTGGAAAGAGGCTTCATTCCGCAACGCATTTTTCTCGAGAGGTTATTGCTCGGGCTCGTCCTTGAACTGAACACCAAATTAAATTCAAAAGTCAGACAACGGGAACCCAAACGAAACATACCGAAATAGAAAATCTGGACCTTATGCGACGCGCGCTACTTTCATTCCCTTCTTTAACCTTCCCATGTAAATAAAAAAAAAAAAAAAAAAAAAAAAGTAAAATACTTAAATAGGTAGCTTGGATTAAATGCCCGGATTCTTAAAACATGGAAAAAACAAAGTCCTTGGCATTGAGTGAGTTGAATTGGGTGCAAAGACATGTCAACTCCGCAACCATTCAATTCTTTGAGCGAGCGTTGAGCATTTTTCCAAGGAAGCGTCCCAGACAAATTGTTCATACTTACTTCCCAAAGTTGCGCTGTGAATGAGCCGCAGCCTGAAGACTTTGCTAGCACATGTTGAAGCAACCCACCTTGCTGGTGTCTTTCATCCCTTTGGTCTCTTTGTGACATCATTAACTTGCATGACAATCACCATGGCAGCAACAACAACTTTTTTTTTTTTTTAACTCAGGTTTTTAGGGAGCTTTTGCCCCCCCGCCCCCCCGAATATCGGCCTCTTACTCAAAAAGAAATGCGTCAGTTAAGAGGTTGCTTTAGACTTTATTACAATCATAACAATAATAATGATGATATTCATCTTGGCACAAACACAATCTTTCAAAACTTCTCCAGATATTCACAGAAAACTAGAGTTCATCTCAGTTTTTGGTGGCTTTCTTCAATTTGGTCTTGAGCTCTGACATGAATGGATTTCCAAATCTAAAAACAACACGAAACGTCAACACCGCGCTGCGTTGAAAGAAAAAAAAACGAGAGGACTTTGTATTCACCCCGCTTGTCTCGGCGGCATCCATTTTGGTTGAGGTGGCGCGGCGGCTTGTTTGGTCGCGTCGGCCTTCGGCGCCGCTTTGAGCTCGGCTTCCTGTTGGCGCGACGCCCTCAATGAGTCCGCGGCAAACATTTCGAGCTCAACTCAACCCGGCTGAATTTTCAGAGCACTTGAAAACAAGCACCGCCGTACGCGGAGCACAAATCATTCCATCCGTACGCTGGACGCAGGATTTGGCCGACTCCAAAACCAAGCGCACGACGGTCATTCGGCAGAGATGTGACGAAGGCATGACGAACCGTTTCAACGACGGTCCCAAAACTCCGCTTGAGCGTCACTTACCATCTTTGGCAACTTTTTGGCGACGGGAAACGCTGCACCGAGCCCTGAAAACACCAACAACGCGACGACGTTTACCACCTCTCGAAAATCAACCCGAACGGGCGGCGTCATCGATGGCGAGAAACCGACCTGGCAGTTGGATTCCCAACCTGAAACCTCCCAACACATGAACGCCGACAGGGATTTTGGATGGCGGCTGGGGCGGCGGAGAGCTTCCGGGAGGCAGCGAGGGCCTTTGGAGAAGCGAGCGGCGATCTTTCGGTGGCCTGACGCGGGGGTTCTTCACAGCCATCCTTGACCTTTGGGGGGCAAAGTTCAGCACAAAGCTGCTCACCTGCAATGAAAATAACGGGTCTTCCGGTTGCAAAATCAATCAAACGTTGCCGGATCATGTTTACGATGTGTCCAAAAGGGAACGTTTTCAACGGAGATTATCATCTCATACCTCAATTTGACTCTCGGGCTTGTCCACCGATTGCGGAATCGTCTTCTCGCCGGGTTGACCGGAAAAGCTGGCCGGTTCCTCCTCGGAATCGCTCTTCGGGATTTCCAATGACTTCATCTCAAGAACTTCTTGAGCGGCGGCTTGCTCGACCTCAAAAGCGGCGGCGCCGGCTTTTGCCGCCGCCCCGCTGCAAGCGGGTGTCCGGGACTCGCCGAAGGAGCGGTCCGAGAAGCCCAACTCGGGGGACGATATTATGGTGAAGCTTTCTGCGTCGTAGCGAGACTCGTTTGAGAACTCGTCTTGTTTGGAGTCCGAGTGGCCTTCTGGGCAAGCAGTCGGCATCCCCGTATCGAGAATGGCCTCTCGACGCCGGCTGTCTGAGCCGAGCGTCATTTCCTCGGTGCTGCACATCGTCGTCGTCGTCCGGAGATCCGAAGCGCTTCTGGTCTCATTCAGCCCCCGGTTGCCCTTGGGCACAAGCGGATCCTCTCCGTATTTTGTGACCTCCTCTGACCTCTGGTCCCTCACAGCGCAGCTTTCAGGTTTCATCTCTCCTCCGGCCAGCGACGATCCGCCGAGGCCGCTTCCCACTTCCGCCGGCGCCCCCATCCGCTCTTTGTCACGGGAGAATCCGAGCGTTTCCCTCCCGGTCTCGTCGTTGTCTCCCGCGGCGTCGCGCAACCGTCGAGCGCGTTCCAGCGCAAGCGCTTCCATCCCCTCCTGAAGCTCTTCCGTGTCGCCGTCGGTTGGACTGCGAGGCGCGCACGATTCCCCCTCCGGGAGTTTGACTCCCATCTTTGAAGTGGCACAAGCAGCCTCGGTTTCTGCGGCAAGGAACTTCTCGACTCGCAGGAAGCCTTGCATTTTATTTCCATGTGCAAAAGCCTCATCATTGTGCTCGGGAAGCGGCTCCTCACATGTCGGAGGATGCGGCTGCCGTGACACCTCACAGACACGGGAGGGCAGATTTCTGAAGGCTTCGCCGATTTCCTGCGCCGGCCCGGCCTCCGCTTCTTCCTCGTAGCCGTCTTCGTCTGCCCCAACTTGTTCGCCAGTCACCGCAGTGACACTGCGGAAGGTTGCCGCAGAATCTTCAGCAGAATCACTCTCCTCAGGTGCTTTGTTTGCAGCGTTTTGGGGTTGTTCACCGGCCCAAGCGGGCAGCGGTGCACTCGGCTCAAGCGCCGCCTCGTCAGATTGTTCCTGACAGACGCCCGCGATGTGACCGTCGCCACCAGAACCACTTTCAGCCGTGGATTCTTGGAGCAGATCATGACTGGTGATGTTAAAAGGTCCCGGCCTGAGGAATCTGTTGACCGCTGCGGCTAAATAGTACTGACAAGCAGGCACACAGATAAAACAAAGTCATTATTTGGTTCATTTCAGACTTTCTTTTTTTTTTTTCTATCGGGAACAAGTTGCA